GACACCCCTGCTCCCTCCCGCCCCCCGACGCGCCGCACCGAGCCTCTGGTCCTGCGTGAAAGCACAAGGGTTACTCATCACACGGTTTAAGGTAGATTTCATATTTATTTAAATATTTATCAAGTACTCAAAAATGTATTACACTTGAGCATACAAAATGAATCCAGTTTCTAATCAAGATGATTGAAATCATTGTATTAGACTTTTAACATTTTTTTTAATGTTCTCTATACTGTCGAAATGGTTTGAGCTTGCTCAGGGTGGGCTGAGATGGTGGGGAGAGAGAAAGAAGAAGGTTACGTTAAGAAAACATTAGGGTTTGAAGTAACTGTCATGCAAACCAACTTGTCTTTGTCAGACTGAAAATCTCTGTATATTCCAGTTGTTAAGACTTTTTTAAAGCTAGCCTTTGTCTTGTGCTGGCCGGGAGCACTAGGGAGCACTTGAATTGGAGCAAAACCAATCCTCTCCCGTGTTTTGTTTAGGTTTGGGGTTTTTTTTTTCTTCTTCTTCTTTCTACTTTTCCCCAAGAAATCGCCCACGTTTGTAGCTTTCACTACCCTCTCCCCCGCAAATTAAAAAAGGGAGAAAGAGGGAATGAAGAGATGGAAGTCGACAGAAAATAAGGAACACTATTCGTGCAATTTCATAGCAATATCCCCTCAGAGTAATCCTCCTGCAGCATTTTTTAATTGTTTTGACAGCAGACACTGATAAATAATGTTCATACTTGACTTGTTAAGCAAAAAGCGTCCCTTTTATCAGGAGCTTATACTTAAAGTACAGGTCACTTCAACAATCTCAACAACGAGGCTTTGGTATACAGCACATGCTTTTTATTATTTTTTAAAAATAATAGAGCTCAGCAAAAAGCTTGAGCTCCCAGTTCTTTAGATGTCTTTACGTTATGTCAAATCATGCCTAGAGTAATATCATTTTTAAGGGCAAGGGATGGGGGGGAACGACACAAGAGAGTTTCTAACGTTATCGATTGAAAGCTAAGGCATCCAACTAGCCCTGATATAGTTGTTGAAACGGAAATTTACAAGCTGGTCGTTAATACTTGCAATAAAATATCACACTCCTTTTATTCACTAACGACCTGCTTTGCATGCAATATTTTATTTCAGGTATTTTAGCTGCTAACTTGTAAATATTTAAAAAAGGGAACATTGTTCATTATTTAATATTAATATTATTATTATTTTCTCTATTCCAAACGCTTATTTAGTGAAATAGTCCTGAAGATATAATAATTCTACATATGGCGCTTTTATTTCACATAATATTTAAGAAAAAAAAGACAAAACCCACATAGAATTAGACATATAATTCAAAGACCACGGTACAACCTTTTCTTTTTTTTGTTTGTTTTTTTTTGTTGTTGTTTTTTTTCTTCTACTTCAGAAAACAAAAAAATAGTCAAATGACGTGAAAAGTGGCAAGTCTTCCGATAATAAATAATAAATTACTTCATAATTTTGCAATGCAAGAGCAAACAAAAAGGGTGGGGTTTTTTTTCTTTTTCTTTTTTCTTTTACTATTTTTTTTTTTTTTTTACTTTTTTCTTTTTGTTTCGAGAGAGAGAGAGAGAGAGAAAGAGAAAGAGAGAAAAACAGTCGTTTTAACCAATGACTATACACATCTTTGGGGGAGGGGAAGCTTCTTGGACAGACACATTTCAAACACAATCCCGAGACGTTGTGTGGCAAAATAGAGGTATACCTTGTTGCAATGCTTTTATAAATCGGTTTTTAAAGAGGAATTCAAAAACCTACTTTTAATCGCTTCAGACTTGATAGAGGGTGGATCTCAACCAAACAAAACCAAATCCTCGCTACAGTACGTGCTAGAAGAGACCCAGGAAACAACCCCTTGTTAAGAGTCAACTAAAAACAACATTGCAAACCGATGCAGCTCCACCTTCCTGCAATGAATCTTTCAACAATGCAGGGTTAAATCGTCTCTTTCCTGATGATGGAAAACCTACTGGAGCTCCTTTTGGCAAGGCAATCACCAATATAGAAACAGCACCATTCGGAATGGGAGGGACTGGATAGAAAGTCCCTCTACCTTGGTTTCTCCCTAAGATAAGATGTGCAGTCAAATAAAAAGATCTTTTTTTCACTTTTTTTTTTGAGATCCACGTGTGTAAATCCTTTACGTTTTGAAAACGTCTTTTTGATCCTCCTCTGATCATTGAATAGCGCGGGGTTAGCGCTTTTTTTAGTATTTATTCTAGTAAGATCCCATGATTGTCTTCACAGTGTTGCTACCATATTACCTTGTCTTTTCAAACATGACTCCGTTCATTTCATGGAGCGGTTCCTTGCTAGGTTCGTTACAGGGTTGTTAAATACTTTTTCCCCCTAAATTTCGGAGTCCAAATGCGATCACTTTCCCACTCTCTCCAACAGGGCTGAGGGTAAGGGCAAAACAACAACAACAGAAATCTGAACGAATGTTCCTCATGCCTCAATAGGACTGGCCACCATGCTGTTGGGCGTATCTGGCAGCTGAGAGGACATTGATGCTACTTCACTTCCAGTAGAATTGGAACCGGGTCCTCCTTCCGAAAAATTAACCTGCCAGGAAAAAAAAAAAAAAAAAAAAAAAAAAAAAAGAAGAAGAAGAAGAAAAATAAGAAAAAGCAGCGTTGTTTCAACCGTAACAATCAAAGTAAAGTAGCAGGTAAAGGCAAAAGAAGAACGCCAAAATAAATACAGAGGCATGCAGCCGAACGGCCTGATACGTCTCCACGGGAGGCTGTGTCACTGTTTGTTGCTTTGTTTAGCTTCCCCACTGACTTCACAGGAATCTTCTTCAGGCCTCCGGCCAAGTCACAGAAAAAAAAAAAAAAAAAAAAAAAAAAAAGACTGAAAAATCAAGCAAACGAACAAACAAACAAACTTATTAATGAGGCCTTCTTCCCTGTCTTGCAGGAGTGGCAATCCCAACAGGATGTTCTAGTCAATTATTTAAGAGCACACGTGTTTTTTTGACATGAAACTGCAAGGGTACTTTTTTCCCCCTTTTGTGCACATACTAAAATAAACGTGGAAGGAGCATCCAGGAGCAGCAGGCGTTTGAAACAAGCCATCCTCTTTCATTCGTGATTGGAAGGGGGTGCTATCTCTTTTGAACGAGAGTCAGCTTGATAAAAAAGGTCACACTTCTCCATCCTAATGTGCCCCGCAGCTCCCGTTCGTTCGGGAGCGGCGTTGGGAAAAGGCACGATCTGAAGGGTGGAGCTTTGCTAATCCAAAAGAATTTCTTTGACACCTATTTAGCTGGCCCATCTGGTGATAGAGACGTGCCTCGAACGATCAATGAACTGTCTGTTCCATCCACAGTTCTTTATTTCAACTCTTTTCTGCGTCAGACATTATGTTATGTACATATCAATAATTATCTGTCTACCTAATGGTCTGTCTACCTGTATGCGTGTGTATATTTGGACTATCCATCTTCCATTCTGCTTTTTTTTTTTTTTTTTACTTTTCAAGAACTACTCCATACAAAAACTCTCTGCATCAAAGGTTTTTAAATCCTCCTGTTCTCTTAAGGCAGGAGAAGTAAGGCAGCCGAGGGAGATCAATTTTTCTTGTGTCTGCTTGACAGCTTGATTAAAGCAGGAAAGCAGCTCTAGAGGTAAGATGATGCAAACAGCCCTGGCTGCTGTGCTACAGCTTCCCGAGTGAGCTTGGTGTGCCAGGGGAGGGAAGCATGCTGCAGCCTGCCACTGGGCAAAAGGAAAGCGAATCCTGCAAGAGAGCATGATACTAAACTGAAAAGGTCTGAAAAGAGTTCCAGACACAGCTACAAACCTTACTCTTCTGACGCTGCATGTCGAAAAACTGCCCAACAGATCAGAAGGGGGTCTATATGTTAATTCTTTATCAGTAAACGTTCTTTTGAATTGCTGAGAAAACATCCATAACCTACCTTATTATTTTAAAGATCTGGTTTTAACACATGTAGGCCAGGAAATTGAGTTAAGGCTGAACTTCTGTCCTTAATTCACCTTGTTGGGCCTAAGTACTGTGGGTGATATGGTCTCATATGAGCTGCCAAATGACGTAGGTGTAAGGAAGTGAGTTAAGAACAGAATTTATTCTAAAAGATCTGTGTTCTTTCGCCTTAAGGCAGTTTATTACATTGTTTGATTTTTTCACACCAATAGGTACTCGAAATTCCATTTCCAATGCACAACATTTTGTGTAAGACATATGTATGTAAATATCTGTGTGTGTATATGTATGTAGAGGTAAGAAAGTTTGTATCTAGAGGTGCATGCTCAAAGCGAGGACTTCAAAAATTTAACTGAGCTATTGGTATTTATGTGACTAAACGAGGGCACAGGCTGACGCTACAGTGGTGTATTTAAAAACCACCCTGTCACATAAAGGCAAAAGTGGTCCAAAGTGGGGGAGAGGCGAATTTTGGAAGCTGCTTTCATGAATGCAGGTACAACTAAATGACGCTTGATGAAAGCCTTACTTCTCTGGACAGAGATGCTCCCGGTTTTGAGGACTGTGCAGGCCGAGCTAGTCTCAGACCTCGGTCAGGCCTGACTCCTCTCCCCCTCCGCTCGGCAAGAGCCCCGCTGTGCACCAAGGTAGGTTTTGCACCAAGCCCTCATCAAACCCGCCCAGTTCGCCGCACTTGCAGGGTGCCGCCGTGCCCACCTTGCAATTTCAGGAAAGCCCGGCTAGCCTGGGTTGCTCATCTTTCTGAGGGCACCGGCAGGGTTTGGGGCACCCCCCCACGGCCCGCCCCCGGGGCGGGCGCGCCTGGCG